TAAAAGAACTGGACCTCACCTCGTCCTGTGCCATCCTCCTCATCTCTGATATATGTAAGCCATGGTTAGAGTCGTGGTATCAATACATCTTGATGAGGGTCTTCCTTGTAAGTACATCATACTCAGGAACGCGAGTTCCTTAGAGTCCAGGGGAGGACGTGGTTGAGCAAACACTTGCCTGAAGCAGCAGGAGAAGTAACACACCACAGAGGCATGAGTGACCCCATCCATGTCTCCGTCACTCGGCAGGTGATTTCATCAGCAGATCAAATCCGTGCCCTGTGGTCTAGTGGGTAAGGAGTTGTGTGAGCAGTTCATATGCCCACAGTTTGATTCTGGCCTAGGCTTCACGGGGGAGAAAGATGTGCAGTCTCCTACTCTTGTGTGATTTACAATCTCTGAAGACTTTTGGAGGGTCAGCAATGAGTCAGTTCACACTTGATGACATGTAACCCCATGTTGGAAGTGAAAGAAGCAAATCTTCAATTTTTGGGACAACCTATTGGGTTTATTCCCTTTAAAAAAATTAATTGTACTGGAAGTTTAGAGAGACTTAGGGTTTCCAGTCACTCATTGTTGCACTTTTCTCCCTGCTTACCCCTTCCCCAATTTACTCTTCTTGAAAAGAAAAACTCTTTCATTGTTATGCAATCCCTCCCCCCAAGTCCACTCCACTATGCAGCCCTCACTCTGGACTCCTATCATGACACTACTACTCGATCATATATCCCTTTTAAACAGTTCTCTCCCTCATCTGTTGTTGAGACAGAACTGCCTAGTTTTCTCCTGTCCTTTCCTGTTTGTCATTTCAAGCAGGACTCTATCTAGGTGTTTAAATTCTATGCCAACTTCAAGCTGTCAGGGAGACAGACGAAAGCGGGTTGGCAAAGCCAGTGTCTGGATACCTGTGCCAACTGTGGAGCAAATGCGAGGTGTTCCAGGGAAGAGTGGGGGAGTCGTGGCCCAAGGGGCAAATGTTGTGCTGGCAACAGCATGCTGTGGGCACATGCCCTTGGGAATCGAAGTCCTCTGTGTTCGGCAGGACAGCAGGGACACTGCAGGCTTGGACAAAGGTGTTGTCAAAGGCCACCAGGACTGATTGACAATGAACACCCGGCCATCAGAGTGCAGACCATTCTGGAAGGTGCCCGAGAGGGTATTCCAGCTGCTTTGACAGAATGGTGGTTTACAGCAAGAAGCAGGACGGCTTTAAAGAAAAAAAGTGTAAAAATAATTCTGACACATCCTCTAAAATAATTGCTTCCTTTCCCTTGGGCAAGCACACATCAATTTGAGGCTTGTTGTCTCTTGGAGATGGTCAGCTAAGTTTTTAATAATTTCCCCTTGAGGCCACTTTAAGGCTGAGGACCTAAGAGATTGTGAAATTGCCTCGAACTGGACAAGACAAGTGGCAAGCTGGAAAAAGGGGGATGCTGCTCCTCTTCCTGCCTCTTTTGCTATTAGTAAATTGCACAGACTAACTTGTAAGAGACAGAGATGTCACCCCAAAAGCCATCTGCGTCCCAAGCCTCAGCAGTCCTCCAGAGCGCTACCTGGCGGGACACTTCAGGACACTACTTGCTCTGCCGTCATTGGCTCACAAAAGCCAAAATGACAAATTAGCCTTTCCAAGTCCTTGGCCTTTATTTTCACAGTTTACAATTCTTGGATTTACTGCCTCTGAAAGCCCACTAGAGGATGAGCCATGAGTCGGCTCCGACTCCATGACACACAACAACCGTCATAGCGCAGTCTGAGTCGTCACTCTACAGAGAAAAAGTCAATTCCCATTATTCATCATAGTTATTGTTAGGTGCCATTAAGCTGAGTGTGACTCACAGTGACCTTAAGCACGACAGATCTGAACCCCGCCCTGTCCTGTGTCATCCTCCCCTCTCTGACGTGCTTGAGCCCATTGCTACAGTCACTGTCTCAATCCATCTGCTTGAGGGTCTTCCTCTGACCTCTAATCTTTCCAGGCATGATGTCCCTCTCCAAGGAGTGGTCTCTTCTAACAACATGCCCAAAGAACGTGACACAAAGCTTTGTCATCCTTGCCTGTGTTCACTCAGTCTACTGGTGACTCTGCACACAGACTTGCTTCTGCTTGGTGACTCCCAGGATGTGAGGAAAAGAGTATGAGCTGGCAGAGGACACATCAGTGTGTTTTAAAATTGTAACATTGCCTCTGAGGTTTCATGCTGAAGTAAGATGTAATAGGAAAAGTATACGGGAAAATCAATGTTTCCCATTACAGGTAGACCCCCATTTAAGGTAAAGTTCCGTCTTTGTGATTCCACCATAATTCTGATTGATTCTGATCTATCCTTTCATTAGCAATGTCTTTATAAATCTGACCTTTATCTCTGGGGGTTGGAAACATTATTCATTAGAGAACATCTGTGAGTGAACACCGGTAAATATGTCCTACAATTGTAATAGTATACTTGCAGGTTTTTGGATAGGTTGTTCTCCCTCCTACCCTGAAGTCTCTGCCCAGGCTGTCCCGTCTGCTTGGAACACCACCTGAGTCACCCCCTCTGGAGTGTCCTGTACCACTTCTTAAGCATCATTTTCATTTTTTTCTTTTTAAGCACTTCTTACTTGCTACTGGCAGCCATATACCTGTCTTCCCAGAATAAAGACTTTAGGAGTGATATGTCTTTTTACTTTGAAATTCCATACCCTAGCACAAAGTATGTGCTCAATAAACAAAAGGGGAATGAATGAAACTCATCTATGTAGAAAATGTCTAAATTATAATTCCTATTAATAATCTTTCTTGAATTCTAGATCCTAATTATAATATAATAGTTTGACAAGCAAAATGAGGAAAAAAGTCATTATGCCAAAAATTGTCTCAGTTCTCAACTTCTTTACTTTTTGATAATGATATCTCCATTATCGGGAGTTCTTTCTGGTACCTTAGGGATAAGAAATTGTGCCACCAACAAAGGCATGCAGTTCAAATTCACCATCTGCTCTGTGGGAGAAGGCTGGACAATCCCCCCCTCCATGTGATTAACTGCTGTGTATCAGCTCCAACTTGATGACATACACCACCACCATTATTGCAGACCCCTAGGCCCAGCATTTTATCATTTTGGATTTCCCCCTTTCTTACCACATCTAATCTGTTTTCAGGCAGCAGGGACTGTCTATGGATTCTCTCATGGATAATATTTTCCCATCTCTCCTGCATATCTTCTAGAAGCTTTACTTGCCAGTTCAGAGACTTCCCGGGTGGTGCTTGGTGGCTAAGTGAAAGACTGGAGGTTCAGGCCCACCCAGAGGTTTTGTGCAAGAAAGGCCTGGCAATCTTCTGAAAACCCAGCCAGTGAAAACCGTGCAGAGTTCAGTTCTTCTATGATGCACATGAGGGTTCCCATGATTCACAATCAACTGGGCAGCAACTGGGCTTGGAGACCCACCATGCAGCTGCACCATCACTTTACTCTTTCTCATTTCTGTTTCAATATTACCCACCTTCTGTGACCTGGGTTTCCAAAAATCACTTTGCATGGCGTCCCTGAACATTTCTACAACCAGCTCAGAACAACAGTGCTGACCCTTTCCTGTCCTCTGAACAGGAATCAAAGTTGACTGGTACCACTAACGTCTTGCAGCAGTCCACTCGGCAAATCATGTGAGTCCCCACTTCATGGCACGATTTCTGTTGGGAGAAGAGGTACAGAGGCAATCAGAGCAGACCTGGTCCCTCCCCATGAAAGTGACACTGTAGCGGTACTGACTGCACATCGAGTGATTTTGCTAAGAGTGGGAGCCAGCTGCGTATGTCTCCTAGGGTTTCCCACCAAAGATTGATTGTCTTTGAACTGAGCACAACTCATAGTGACCCTATAAACAAAAGGCCTGAAGCTTTTCTATAACTATTGACATTTATCAAAGTTTACAGAGTTTTCGGAGGCATGTTTTTTAGGAAGTGGATACCACTCCTGCTTCCAATCCCTAAGTGCTCTGGTGGTCTAGTGGTAAGAATCTGCACTGTAATCCCCAAGGTGTGTGGTTCAAATTCACCAGCTGCTCTGGAGGGTCAGCTATGGGTCAGTTCCAACTTGAAGGCAAGATTTTACAAAGATCTTTTATAACAGACTTTCAGGATGAAGACTATCAGTTGGCTTTCTGACTGCTACTCCCATGGAGCTTGATTGTGGCTCTGGGTAGACGGAGCATCTCTCCTTATCACACCTCACTACCTGGCACTACAGCGTGCGCTGTATAGTGAGGCACAGAGATCAGTCCTGACGGGTTGTCTCATAGAAGTCCCAGCAGATAGGTGTAAAGAAAAGGGCGAAGAGCAGGAGCTCAGAGGAAGCCCAGGTGGGAAGAAGAATTGTTCCTACACCTTACCTTTATACCAGTGGGGGGGGGGGGAGGCAGACTACTGTGGAAGGGAAGGAACTATGTTAATGATGGTCTTTAGTGGATTGGTATTTTGTTTTGTTTTTTTAAAGACTGGATTGAAATATTGAAATAAAAGTACTTCACATCTTCTCTTGCCAGATTGTCAGTAAGGTGTGGCTCATGCAGGATTTTCAATGTGTGGGTAGTCGAAGGCCATTTTTTGCTCAGATTATGGAACTATTCAAAAGGAATGCTCATTTGAGCATCAAGAATGCAAACATGAGTTGCCCCCTCCCCATCTCCATAAATGGGGTCACTATTTGTAGGAGATGACTCAGCAGGCCTAATGACAACATGCAACGAGGATCCGTTTAACACACCATTGGCCATAAGAAATGCCAATGTTAGTGGCACAGTCAGGTTCTAGCAGACTGTTGGGATTATAGCTGCACAGCAGGGACCTTCCCCTGCTCCCTCCCCACAATGAATTTCTAACAGCAAACGTGAATAGATTCCTGGAAATACGCTGTTCTACAGAGAGGAGGTCCGTGAGCAGAGAAAACCATGGCCAGGCATCTGGTGCTGCATGGATCCCATGGCCTTTAGAGTTAGAAAATACAAGAAGACACAACTGGTTGCTGCAATACACAAAAGTTTATTTTTTTTTTACTTTTTTTTTTCTTTTCTGAAGGCAAAATAGAATAGAACCGAACATCAATGAATTTTGTACAACAAAAAAACAGCTTTGAATATGGAACAGACAGTCCATGAATGTTTCTAAGTCTCGGAATGGCTTCCCTTTTTCAAAGTCATGCTTTCTTGCGGTCCACGGGGAGTTGGCACGAAGAGATGGTGGCAGCCAGCCAGCGAGGTGAGTGGAGCTGCCGGGCTCCCCTCAGATCCGCGTGAGCTGGTGCCACAGGCTGGATGGGAGGATGCTCTCCACCTTCTCCATGACGAAGTTTAACGGGGCAAACAAAGTGCTGAGGAACTGCAAGGAAACGAGAAAGATGGGCGTCAGGAGAGTCCTGGCTCACGACTCCACAGAGGCTCTCTCTCATCCACGCTCTCCACCTTAAGTCTCTGTGTCATGAAACATCTCAAACGGCATATGATTCCATATTTATGTTTGCAGGAGACAGAGGATGGTTATCAAGGCTGCATTCGGGCCTCAGGGCTCTGAGAGATAAGGGCAGAAGTGTCTGCCGACAGCCCCCTTCACTGCTGACAGTTGCCCACAGTTCTGGGGTCTTCCAGGCAGGCTGTGGGCCCTCTGGCTGCCCAGACAATGCCTAAGGTCATCTTTAGGGACCCCAGAAGGCTGCCCGGTGGGCAAAATGTTAACACAGTGACAACTTGGACTACCTACTCTCCTAGCTGGGCACAGAACTCACTTTACGTGAGTTTAAGAATGCATTTTAAGAGGAAAGGTTAGTGCTCTCCAGTGTCTCCCAAGTCAGTCCCATAAGGACACATACTGCATAAGACCATTATTGTAAAGCTGGAGGGATAACTAGTAGGATATGCATGGGAGCTCAAAGGGGAAAGGATGGCAGTGGAGAGGTGAGGATGTGTAGGAGCAAAATTACAGAGTCACACTCTCTGGTGGGTAGAGAGAAGGTGGAGGAAGGGACAGGGTAATGATGGGCAAGGTCCAAAGGTGATTAATTTTATAAAACATAAATTCCGACTCCATGGTACACAATATCAACATGTAGAGAGTAATGCTCAGTGGTGATGCCTTTTTTAAAAAAGACCAAGGACCTTGGTCTAAGACTCGTTTAACATCTCAAATCCATTCTACGTTCGTGTGAAGAATCAGCCTCATTCCACAAACCATCCATCTGGCTGAACAGGTACCAGCCAGGGCTGAGAGAGTGCGGAGTTTTCTTCTCCTTGATCTGCTCAGAACCAAGATGGCGCCTTGCCAGGGATCACCATCGGGTTCTCGTATGATGGGGTCCTCTGCCCCTTCCCCTGTGCAATGCACAGCCACGTCTATACCACCAAGCATTCCTCATAGTTCTGGAGTGCAGGATGGGAACACATACGCAGATGCGTGCAGAGGGAGACATGGTCACCGGCTCCAACAAATGGAGTGTTTAAGCCCTTTCACTAATCATTGTTCTAAGGATGGTGAGTTCTCAAGAGGGGTTTTATAGGCAAGTTCCCCAAATCCACTCGGCCTTTGAATCGATCAATTTATCCATCAGCTGAGAGACAAAATTCCACAAACCCACCTCCATAAAGAGGAGCTAAGTGTGGATGCAGTCTAGAGACATCTGACAGGTGTGGGAAGATGAGACTCTACATCAGGTGGGACCCTGGCGATGCTACCATGTCCTGGAAGCATGAGTACAAATGGATGTTGAGCTGTGATGCTGCACCTGGCTGGGACAGGGACTGTGAAGTATGAGCAAGAGCTGGTGGAGGGCGATGAGAGGTATCACTCACTGTACTTGGAGCAAGAATGGAGTAGGGGGTTGCAATACAGTTCTCTCAAAATGAAGGCTTTCCGCCCCTCATCTGGTTTGGTTTTCAGCTTGCTTTGTTTGGGGCACTGGCCTGAAGGGAATTAAAAAGTCCCAAAGCAAAGTCTCTAAAAATTAAGAGGAGGAGAACTTCCTTCTGTTTGATGCTGGTTCACTGCCTCTCTTTACACGCTGCCCAAGAAGGCCCAGCATCCCTGCCTCCCTGAATTACAACTGCCTTCCCTCCTCCACCAGGTTCTGCCAGAGAAGTAAGCCCATTGCATGAATTTCAATCCTTCATCTAGAACGTATTTACTTGGGAGAATGGAGCCCTGGTGGTGCAGTGGAAAAGTGCATGGCTGCTACCTAGAAGGTTGGTAATTCAAACCCACCAACTGCTCCATAAAGATTAAAGCCTTTAGAATGCTATGGGGCACATGTACTCAGTCTTATAGGGCCACTGTGGGTTGGAATTGACCGGGCTGCCATGGGTTTGGTTTTAGGCTTGGGGTCTTATAGGGTTTGATATTCTCTTGCAGTGCCTGTGTGGAGATAAGCTCTCTTTAGTGCTAAGCTATCTTCCACCTCAGCGACTTTCCCCACATCCTCTTCACCAGCACCCACAGGGAAGCAGCAGACAATGCAGTGGGGCATCCTGAACTGCTTAGCCCTTTCATTTAGGAACAAGATAAAGGCCTGGGACTTGCCGCAGCAGCTGTTTATCACAGGTGGTTTGGAGGAGAATGCCTTCTTTTGGTCAGCTCTTCTGTGTTTCTTTGTTTTATCATCAGTCAATACTTTTGGCCAGAGACTCAGCTGCTGCACACAGAAAAACAGCAGTTTCTCTTATAAGCTTAGAGGAGAAATTTATTGCCTGAAGAGTTAAGTCTGAATGAGGAACACCAGGCGACCTTGGAACAGCCCATCTATCTCAATGTCCAAAACCTCTGTCCAGAGGGCAGGAATTCACAGTCACATTTTTTACCAAAATGCACCATAATTCAATCAGCATCTTGTGGTGAGAAAAGGCAACTGGAATAATCGAGGAGAGAGGGTGGCACTTCAGTTGCCTGAGTCAGTTCTTCCTGAACACGGTCACGGAGAGGAAGGCCAGGGCTCCCAGCATGCTTCGGGAGCACTCTCAGAGCCCCCTCTGCTTATCTGAAGAAGTTCCAGGTGCCCTATTGCGACCAGACAATTGACATTTCCCTGTGATCTATATCAGACTTCAAAGAGATTGGAGCTAGAAATGAAGATGAGAGTCAGAAGTCAGAGGGCTCCTCAGTGTCCAGGAAGGCGTGAGACCAGAGGGAGAAAGCCGGGGGCCATGAAAGCAGAGAGGGTCAGGACGCTGACCTTCCCATGTCCTGTGGGGCTGGGGCTGGAACCATCACTTGCTTATATGAGCAACCTTATCTTGGTAACCAAACATCCTAGGAAGAGTTAGTCCTAAATCGTTGAGACGATTAGATTAGGGGGGTGAGCTGGGGCTCCTCTCTTGTTGCTCACACTCCCAGGTGGGGTTCCCTGCGGGCTACACAGCCCCACGTAAACACAGTGCAGTTCCCAAGCTGTGTGCGGCCTAGGGGGTTGGCGTGCAATCTCCCTGCATCTCCTGAAAGTCATTATCCCAGGGACTTTATCTCAGGCGGGAGCTGAGAAAATCATTTTTACAAGCTGCAAATGGTCGCACACCGCCTGCAGGGCGGCTCTGATAACCCCTGGGGCTCTTTGAGGGGCCTGATGAAGTGACAAGGGGAAAACACTGAGAAAGAAGAGTTTGGGGGCAGGGCGGGGAACATGGGGAGATGGGGCTTGTCTCATTCAGGTCATCCATCTCCTTCCCCACCAAGGCTCTGCAGACGCTCTGGAAAGTGCTAAACCTCACTGGAGGGCCAGATAAATGAGACCTTCCAGACAGAGGTTAAAAAGTGAGCTGATCTGAACTACATTTGCAAGTGATGGGTGACTGACCAAACTACAGAGTGCAAAATGGAGGAACCTCAACAAGTCTTTAGATTTTATTTAAAAGAGTCTTTGAAATCAAAACCAAAGCTGTCCAGACTGGAGCTGAGAGTGGCTCTATGTCTGATGTCTGCAGGCGGCAACCCTTTCCAGAGGCCTGGGAGGACAGCTGTGTCATTTTTCCCAGGGGAGCACAGGTACTCTTTACCATACCCCACACTGCCCAGTCACCTCCAATGTGAAAGCTGTCTCCAGGAACTAGGTGTCTGAGGGTGCACTTCTTTCCGTAGAATAGTTCTCAACTAGAATCACCAGGAGAGTGTTTCAATTCAGCTGCTGAGGATGCACCCAGATCAATGAAGTCAGAGTCCAGGCCTGGTGTCCAGGCATCTGTGTTTTGAGCTCCCTATGTGGTGCTGGAGAAGAGTGTTGAATATACCATGGACTGCTAGGAGACCAAACAGGTTTGTCCTGGAGAAGGTGAAGCCGGAATGCTCCTTGGAGGCAAGGATTCTGAAGCTTCGTCTGACATACTTTGTGCATGTTGCAAGGAGGGACTGGTCCTTGGAGAGGGACATCATGTTTGGCAGAGTGGAGAGAGGAAGACCTTTGATGAGATGGATCGATTCTGTGACTGGAGTGGTAGGAATGAGTGAGTTTGAGATGGCTAGGTTGGCATAGAATAGAACTGAGTTTAGAGCTCTTGTACATAGGGTTGCTATGAGTCGCAAGCGACTCGATGGCACTTAACAACAACAACATGCAGTTTCAAGGTATACACAGAGTGGGGCTACAGGTTAATAAGAGGGGCAATGCTTAGACCAGGGTGGTTCTGACTGCCCACCAGTCACCTGACACATGGCTACTCAGTGGTCCCGCTATTCTCATGCTTATTCTCCGTGTTCTTGGGAGAATGATGGTCTCGGATCCTCAGAATTTGCAGGCATCTTTGTTAAAAATAGAGATTCCTAGATGCTACAACTCTTGATTCTGAACTTCTGGCACTGGGGACATGGAGCTGAAGCACACTAGGATTTTGAAGCTCCATCTCACGTACTTTGGGCACATGGCCAGTCCTTAGAAAAGGACATCATGCATAAAAGGGTGGAGGGACCATGCAGGAGAGGAGGACCCAGGATGGGACTGACTCAGTGATTGGAGAAATGGGATCTGGTCTGTTGGAGATGATGAGATTGGCTCAGGAGAGGTCAGGGTTCAGAGCTATTGTACATAGGGCTGCTATGAATTGCAGGTGATTTGACAGCATGTAACAACAACACAACAGGCTGTGTACAAATCAAGTTCTTAGTGGAATCAATACTGGACTGATAATGTACTTTTGCAACTGTGCTAGTAAAGGAGGAACAAAAAAGCAAGAAAGAATATTTCAACGATGTAAATATATTCTTATTTTAAGTTTTACTGTGTTACATTCTAAACTCCTCTGAGTTTGGGCAAGCACTTTTTACTCAGAGGTTGGGTTGGAAGTGGAGGACAGTAACAGAATAGCGTAGGTGCACACACTCGAGGACACACACAGAGGAGTCCGGGTGGGATTGGGCTTAGAAAACATGTCATCTACACAAGTCTCAGGGAATTTCCCATATTCATTATGGGTAAAGAGAAGAAAGTGGATGGTGAGAGATTAGAAGTGGCCGTGAATGTATTCACTGTCTTCAGAATGCTCAGGAGGGAACATCCTTGTTCAGAGCAGTTTCTGAGAGAGAATAAGAAAATCAAGAAACTAAGAGGAGATAGAATTTATAAAGATAAGACAGCATTCTGATGGTTCCAGTAACACTTTAATGCTGTAAATACCAAATGGGTTTCAATGTTAAAGAGGTGTGTTTACTGTTACTGAAAGTTCTCAACAAAGAACCTAGAGGGTCTCCGCTGGAGGTCCTGTTGATGACAATTTGTTCAAGATCCTTTTAAACTCTAGAGGTCAGTGAATAGAATTCTAAAAGAAGAGAAGAAATACTGTTTTACATGGATTCTTCCTGCAGACATCCCATTGCCATTTATTCATTTAATAGTCATCTATGGAAAAATCTATTTGCAAAGTACTGCGCAGAACTCTAGGGTTAAGAACAGTTCTTCTTCCAAGAAGATTACATTCTAAAGAGAAGAGAGATTTCAACAATGATATTATAATACAATGAGGTGACAGTAGATGCTCATGGGATACTTTGGGGCTTCAGAGAAGAGAGACCTACCTCAGCTTGGAAGAAACTGAAAGACAGCCAAGTGTTAAAGAACAGAGAGCAAAGAAGCATTATTCCTAGGACCGACAAGTGTGTGGGGGTTTGATGATGAAGGGGACCCACGCAGAACACAAACAATGCGGACAAAGGCACTGAGGTGCATTTAGAGAATGGAGATCAATTCACTGCGGCCCAAGAATAGTGTCTGCACAAGAATTAGAAGATATGAGGCTGAAAAGCTGTGCAAAACCAGATCATAAAGTGTCTTGTACGCCATGCTAAAGAATCATGTAAAAAAAAAAAAAAAAAAAAGAATCATGTGTTAGCCTGAAGTCGATGAGAAATCACTGGAGAAATTCAAGCAGGGAACTGACGCACTGACTCAAAGTTTAGAAAGATTTTTCCTGAGTCAGAATGAAAGACTAGCAGAGGGTAAGAGTGGAAGCAAGCAGACAATAAGACTTACTAGTAAACTGATGCCTTGGAGGTGTGGTGTTGTAGAAGAGTACTGAGAAGCTCATGGACTGCAAAAAGAACAAACAAATATGTCTTGGAGAAGATGCAGCCAGAGAGCTTCTTGGAGGCATGGACGCCAAAGCTTCATTTCTCATACTATGGTCATGTTGCTAGGAGAGGCTATTCCTTCATGGAAAGGTGGGACTGACACCGTGACTGCAGCACTGGGCTCAAGGGTGTTGGAGATTATGAGGCACATGATAGGTCAGACCTGTTGTTCACAGTGTCGCTCTGAGTTGTGCTCAACTTGACAGCTCCTAGCAACAATCAACAAGTGAAGACCATTGTAGGAAGCCAGACAAGAAATAATGAGACTCTAAACTAAGACAAAAGCCATGAGGAGCAAAAGGAGGAGAAAGACAGATGAATGACATTGACTGGTTGACTAGAGAAGGTTAGAACGACAAACTGTAAGCTGTTGCATATCTATGTGGAGGATGAGAAAGAGAGAAGAGTCTGGGGGTGGGTGTTGAGCTCCAGCAGGAGAAACTGGACAGACAGCAGGGCTGTGACTGGTGGAGCCTGGGAATATAAGAGAAGTAGTTTTGGTGGGGAATGACGGAGAGTGATGCATTCCGTTTGGGGAATGCTGAGATTGAGATGCGGGTGGAATTTCCAGTTTATCTTTAACACACATGTAAACACTATTGCAATTCTAGTTCCTGGGCAGAAAATGCCAATCATCTGGAAAGGGATTGAAGCAACCCAGTGACCTCAGAAATCATTTTTGCCTGTCCCACTGGCCTTGAAACCTTAGCGGTGCTTTAGGACACAACTCAGATTCTTCTCTTGCTCTTTTTACTTGAAACTCCTCTGTGGCAACATCACTAAACTTAACCTGACTGCATGCACAATTCTCAAGGCTGCTGGCTGTCGGCTGTCAGTGCAGAGTGCTTCCTTATGATAGCTTATGTCCGCAGCCCACCTAACAGTTTTTAATGGATTTCCTTATTTCTACATGTCCTTTCCATTTACTTGTTAAGATCCATCACATTCTCTTACTTGGTCTCCCAAACGTTAAGAGTTAGCTGTCACTTTTTAAAAAAGTTATTTAATCAGCTTTTTTTAAGGGTTTTCCCCCCTGCTCTTGTTGTAAACCGTGGAATTGGATCTGACTGGCACAGGTGGAGATTGTCCCTCCTTCTCCACTGGAGCATCAGGTGGATATTCAATCATCTTTGAAAATATGTATCTCATCTATCTGGAAGGAAAGACAAGTATCCAAAGGTAGCATAGTGGAGTAGACTAGGGGGGAGGGATTGAATAACAATGAAAGATTTTTTCCTTTTCATTTTCAAAAAGAAAAGTGAATTGGGGGGAGGGGTAGGCAGGGAGAAAAGTACAACAATGAATGAATGAAAATCCAAAGTCTCTGTAAATGTTCATGAAAATAAAAAAAACCCTCCACCCCCCAAAAAAAAAATGCCATCGAGTGTGTAACAAAATGGAGTAATTTCAGGCAAATATTTTTCCCATTTTTCTAAGATTCTCTTAATTATCTATTTCATCTTTGTGGACCTTATGCATTTTTTGGAAGCAGCTGAATCTTGTTTTGTGGAATGAGGCAAAAGCATTCATTAAACAAACAACCTCTACTTTCTTTGACTGAACCCTATGACGCTAATGAAAGCTAAACAGTAAGCAAATGGTCAATGCAGGTTCCTACCAGTTGCAAACGACTACCCCGCCTCTCTCTGAAGGCTCTTCCTGGGTGGAATACTCACAGCTTTTGCGAAGACCCCCATGAGCTCTGGAAACTGATGTGTCAGGAGGGCCAGCATGGCTGTGAAGGAACACAGTCCAGCAGTAAAGAGTATAAAGAAGGGAAGCTCCTTCTTTGGGTAAACTGAGACTTCATGGAAAGCTGTGGAAAAGAGCAGAAAGGAAAAATGAAGGTGGCCGGAAACCCCTTCTCAGGGCATATCTATATGGCAAAGTGGACTCTATAGACCTTAACGGAACCAGCAAAAGGAGGAACCATAAAGAGGGGAGGGGAGGAATACACCATTTCAGACACTTGAAGTGGCCTCTGACTGACTGCACATCTGAGTCTCCCAAGTCCGTGTTCAATCTTCAGCCCCCTATTGTGGGGAAGGAGAGGGCTGGCTTGTAGATGTCAGACATACAGTGCCAGTAGCCCCATTTATATCTAATACATACTAATCCTCCCTCAACAAACACCAATAAAACAGCTAAACATAATTTAAACAATAAAATACACATTCATTGTACAAAAGTCTAGGAAATTCCAAATCAAATATACTGAGGAGGGAAAAAAAAATCTCCTCTCCACTTTCACCTTCCTGTAACTCTTTAATCACGACAAGGAGACTGTTCGTTTATCTAATTCTTTTTCCTGGCATGCTGTGAGTGTGTCCGCTGAGGGGCTGCCCTGATGGAGGCATTCAGCTCACGTGCTGGCCTCCTCATTCTGTGAGGTTATCCGGCACAACTGTAGACAGACATTCAACAAGTAGTGGAAAGAAATAAAGAAATAAAGAAGAAACTGGAGCTCTCGGGTGTGTCCTTCGCAGCCTTTAAATGTCCAAGTTTAGGTTTGGGGGGAACCAAGGAACCGTCGTACAAAAGCTGAGAGCTGGGCTCTTCCTGGCTTCTGTGGGTTGTGTGACCGCCCGGCATGAAGGCCTTTTCTCTACCAGTCAGCACTTGTGACTCCAGGCCCTAAGTAATGCATCCTGTTGAAAACAGAGACCTGGATCCAGGAGAGTAGGCCTGAGGGATGAACACCCATGGGTGGACATGTGCTCAGCATGAGATGAGGCACACCTCCACTTCCCATGTGCAGAAGAGGGTCTCCTTTAGGACAGCTGACCGCTTCAGACCCTCATCCACCAGCCAAACCCACAAAGGCCTGTCTGCGGGGCCAGACTTTAATCACCACATCCAGTTAAATAAATTAATTTGAGACACAATTTCAGAACATACCAAGAGTCTCCTTATAGTTTCTTTCAAGAACTCTAATCTCATTCTAATAGTTCCCCTATCCTTGTGGGTAATTAGTCAGGCCCAATCAAAACATTTAGAACTTTGGTATTTTCCAGGGGGGAAAAAAAGGCTTTTTTTTACTGGAAGATGGATACTCCAATGAGGATCTCCCTGAAATGGAGTCTGAAGGTGAAGTCTGAGCCCATAATAGGAATTTCTGAAATCAAATGTGATATAGTAGGAGGCAACAGGCTGGTTTGACTGGAAAATAGGGATAAGCCTGACCACACCAGAGAGCTCCCCCAGTTCCTGTAGCTACGTGGTCTCAGGGGGTCTGCTGGCAGAGGAAACAAATGACGTCCCTCCGGCTGCTTTAATTGGATGACAGTAATCAGTTCTGCAATCAGTTTCCACCACATGGCGATTTATGGCAGGCTCAATCATACTGGCGTTTAGAAAGCTACCGTGCACTCAGGCTTCCAGAGTCACACTGCGTTTACACAGACTGTGGCTGCAACCCCTTGTCACCAGCCCACCAGAGCTCCCAAACAACAACAACAACATGAACAACCGAGGTAGCTGCGGCTGTGAAAAGGGAGGGGGTGGCAGAATTGAGGAGGAGAAAGAATAGTCAAGATGGGGAGCTTGTTATTGGAGGGAGGAAAATATGTCCCAAGTCAGGGCCACATGAAGAGCCTGGACATGACTCGCGTTCACAGTATGATTCGATAATAGCTATTTAGCCCCAATTGTCAAAACAATGCTGTATTACAGTAACCACAATAATATTTTCCACATGTGGTGTGGGCCATCCGCTGCGAGCGTGGAAGGCACTCGAGGGCAGGGTCCGCCTTCTGTGATACGGAGCTGGGGCTGCACGTGGGCTCCGCACATGTTCCTCCGGCTCACCCTGGCCAACCCGCGAGTGGCTCACGAGAAGTCCCTCTGCAGGGATGCCACGTCCCGGGGCTGCCCTCCCACCCATGACTCATGTGCAGCTCCCTCTGAAGTCAGCTTCCTGTCAAGCTCTAATTGGTGGGGGCCACATCAGACCAGCTGGGGAGTTCAGGCAGAACCCGTGCAATGGACCAGCCTAGCGTCTCATGTGAATATGGCTCAGACCGGTGTCTCTGGGCTCGGGCCAATCAGTGTGTGACACCGCTCCTCTAAATGTTGGCCTGTTAATAATGCCTTCCCCCGCGGTGAGCTTGGAGAGACTTGGAGGAGCAGGAATCCAAACCCACTTGGCATAACTCACTTGAACACAAATGCTCTCACACAAAGGCAGGGCTTGGGAGGCGAGTGAGACAAGATCAGAGGCATTATGAGTACTTGTCCTTCCCGCCTTCCCGCCACCACCAAGCCGAAGAGAGAGCCAGAGTTGGACTTACATGGAAGCAGCTCTCTGTCTGCCGTTTCTGTACAGATTGGGTAAGGATAAAATAGGTGCCCCTTTTCCAAGGGATAAGGGATCATCCGAAAAGCTGAAAAAGGAGAGACAATATGTTAGAGGCCCACTCTTTCTTCCAAAACTACTTTGATAAGAGACTTTTGAGCATTTTTATAATGAGAACACTTCTAAAAACAACTCCAGGATGGGATGCAAGACCTGCCCAGCCTCTAAGGTGTGCACCAGAAATGCCATCAGAACTGCTTTATAATGTATGACTGTACATTCAGCTCACACTATACATTCTAGGCAAACCTCACCGACCTGGGTGGGGGCAGGGGTGTAGAGGGACAAGGAAGCCAACAGTACCCGCGTCCGGGGTTTCCTCGATTAGAAAACACGATAAAAATACCATAAGCACAGACCTAATAGCCCAACTGATAGCAATAACAAATGTGGATTGAAATGCTTCCCTGAAAAGGAAGCTTGGAACGCGTCGATTTGAGAAAACACGTCTAACTGGATTAAAATTCCACCCAAGATGGACAAAAACAACAACAACCGAAAAAACCCCCAATCTCAAAATGCATGACTTGGGAGGTATTTCTAAACTTTATGAAACTTCTAAATCTTCATTCTCATGTGGAAAAGTAGGAATCCGGGAGATTGATTATCTGCACGGTGATGATGTCAGGCCCCCTAATTCTGCTCTGGTGGCTTCAGACAACATTAGGCCTCTGGGTTGAGTTATGGCTTTCCAATCAATCTATCCTTTCCCATTATCACATGTGTTACTCTCCCGGTTACCATGTCATCAGCATGTTAGTCTCACTGTGCCTATGAACAGTGCTCACGAAGGTAATTTTCCCTCAACAGATGTCCTTTAACTGCAGCGTGATACAGATATAAATATAAAAACTCCACCCTGCACTGGGCAAGTCAGCAAGCGACCCGTGCCCTCGCGTGTGTCACTGAGGGATGGTGGCAACCCGCAGGGGTAGTTTCTATTCTGAACGTCCCATTGCGAGGACTCCCAGCTATTCCCTAAGCTGTGTAATTACCCGAGGCTTCTCAAAAGGCTGTCACTGTACCTATTTCTCTTTTGCGTGCTGATTTCAAACAGGAATCCGAAACAAAGAATGTTCTCCCTCACAAGAAATGACAGGGTTCCATTGTAAACCAGCATCGGCGCACATATGGTATTTATTCTGGTGTCTGAATATTATTTAAAAGTAAAAACATTATGTATGTGATCCAGGCTTTGGAACGCAGTCAATCTGCACCGCAGTGGTATCACTCCGAGGTTACAGCGCACTGCCACAGAGAATATAAATCACTGGAGAAGCAGGGTTAGAGCTGAGCAGGTTCGCTGGCAGTTTGCTGAGGTAAAAAAAATGTTATCAATTTTCCTCTTGCAGCAGAAATCTCTTAAACAGAGATTAAAACATTAAAGACACCCCCAATTTTAACTCTTCTTGAAATCAAAGGTTCACTCTAGTTTAATCAGATCCTTTTCCATGCAAACAAAGAGGACTTCTGACCAGTAAAGGGGGCAGAGAGGGAGCCTGGGCACAGGTCTGTAACAGGCTAAGATCACCCAAAGGTGCAAACATCTCTCAACAGCACTTAGACTGTTGAGAAAACAAAACTCAAAACAAAACTCATCAACACTGTAATGCTTTCGTAGAACATGATGAAATCCCTTCTGGGAGGCAATGAATGTAAGTTTGCAGTACAATAGACAAGATTTTACTACCATTCCTCATAAATTATTATAAGTTTACAGTAGAATAGACAAGATTTTACTACCATTCCTCATAAATTATGCCATCCAAGGAAGCATCTCAGACACGTGGAGAAACTTAGATGGAAGTGCGGTTGGAAACACAGATTCTTCGCATGTAACTGGGCTGCTGCAATTAAGACTCTGCTTAGGATTTTGCTACATACATAAATGCAATCCTGGAGATTTCCAAGTGGCTAAAACTTCACTCAAAACTCCAGTCACACACTATGAAGCAAAGAGTTCCTAAGATACTATATAACATGGGAGAGCCGAGAGAGCATTGTATTGTGTGAACTAACTCAGTTTCATAAGGACACATACTGCACAAGACCATCATTGTAAAAATAGATGAATAGTTATCTAGTAACTAGTAAGATGTATTTGAAAGTCCAAAAAGGAAAAGGGATGGAGGGAAAGGGGTAGGAAATGGGAAAGTGGGGAAACTATCACTAGGATATCAGAGTTTAGCGGCAAATGAGGCTGTGAAGGAATTAGGAAAGATCTAATGGGGACCTGAAAAGATAGAGTAATAGTAGGCAAAGGTCAAGGGCGATTAACTTTAGAAGACACGAAGCACATGGATGATTGTATGAAACACAATGCGAATAAAGAATTGTGTGAAACACCCACCCACACCCCACACCCCAAACACCAAAACCCAAAAACCTCAAGCCACTAACTCAGTCCCGTAAGGACAAATAATGTATAAGAACATTATTGTAGAAATAGATAACTAGTAAAACGTGTATATAAGGGGGGGGAGGACGTTGGGAGGGGAGGTGTAACCATAGAGGCACACAGGGGACGGTGGGGTGGGTTAAAGAAATGGAAACGATGCAGTGTGAAAAACAACATATACAGATTCTGTAAGTAAACCAGTATAAAGGAAAAAGTTTATATTAAAAAAAAAAAAACCCACACAAACAAACCTCAAAAAACCTGAGGTCAGTGTGCACTACAGGGAGTTAACCTTTGGAAGAAATGGAGCCGCACAGGCTGAAGTAACCAAAGCTAATAGTTTGCTGGTGTCTTTTCAGTCAGATGTCAAACATTTCAGGCTCCTTCCTTTGGTAAGCAGGCAGACTTTTGTGCTTTAAGTTAGTCTTTCTCTTCTTTTAATTGGTTCTGGATTTTTAAAAGAGGGTAAAGATACTGATTACCATCATCATAGCGGGGAAAAGTAGATACAGATCCTGCAAGCCCCAATAAAAAGATGGAGACTGAGCTGGTCAACTCTATCTTTTTCTCACGTCAGTTGTCATTTACACTGAGTTCATAAAATAATACCAAGGCTTTTGGCTTCACTAAACAAAAGCTAATACAATTTGTGCTTGTAATCCTATCTTTCTCCCACCCTGCTGTGCGGGATCCAACAGAGTGTGAGATAAGTCAGCAATGGAGATCTGGAAGGGCTGGGTGAGGCCAGCATTCCCTGGTCCCTCCACATCCTGGTCAGTTTCACACTGAAGACACGAAGAAGCCTCTTGGTTTTAGCTGCATGTCCACAGATTTTCCAAGTGCAAGGATTAAGGACACACTGATTTGGCAGTGCAGAGAAGAAAGGGAAATGTGTCATTTAAACACATTGATTTTCTAAATGACCACAGACCTCCTAAAAGTCTTTGGGAGAACACACATTTCAGAGGAAAGAAAATATACACGTGGTGAAAAACAAAAACAAAGGCTGGGGTGCTCAAAGTTAACAGAGGGAAGACAAACACTGCATGTTCCTTTATGATTTTCCATTGTGTTGTTGCTGAAGAATCAAAATAAAATTGGGAATTAATTAAGAAATGCATCAGGTCCTTTACGATAATGTTGGGGTTCACCTATCCCTGGCCTGATAACATTTTCCAGTCTGGAAATTCACCGCGGAGATAAGAATTACCAACAGAAACCAAGTGTGGACAGAAGGACTTCCCCTTTGAGCACCTATGACCTCTCCTCCCACGCAGGTATTAGACAGGGAGCGTGGGTGACCTTTTCACATTGTGCCTGTCTTTAAGAACTTCGCAAGGAGCATCTCAGAGAGGCTTAAACAGATAGATGATTAGTGGTCACATTGAATGGACTTTGAATTCCAGCTCTACTCCTTACAGTCCATCATTTCTCAAGACATGAGACCTTCTGTGTGCATCTAGGATACAAAAATGAGCACTTGGGGGCTTGTACCTAAGTTGGGAAGCTCATGATGAGGGAAAGGAGGTCCCACTGTGATAAGCACCACTAAGGAAAGGTCCATGGTACTGCATACACCTAATGGGGGAGTAGGGAAGCTGACTCCCAGGGGGTGAGTAGAAGTTGATGAGGTTAACAGCTGTGTACCACTGACACAAGTTCGTTCACCTGTGCTGGAGACTGCTCATCTGTGAAAATGAGACCACCACTATGTCACCCAGGGATTGTTACAGGTATGGCAGTAAAGAATGAGGTATGGCAACACCTCGCCTTGTTACTCAACCCAAGTCTTTCCCTTTCTCTATCTTTAGTAGAGCTCTGGTGGCCAGGTGGCAAGAGGCTGCACTGCAATCCCAAAGGCACGCAGTTTGAGGCCACCAGCTGCTCTGTGGGAGAAGGATAGGCAATCTCCTCCGGTGTAATCAACTACCTGCCTCTGAAAACCTGCTGGAGGGTCAACTATGTGTTGGTTCTGACTTGATGGTACACAACAACAAACAACAATGGTGGCCTAGCAGTGAGAAGCTGCACCGCAGTCCCAAAGGCACATAGTTTGAGTCCACCAGATGCTCTGTGGGAGAAGGATGGGCAATCTCTTCCTATGCGATCAGCTATGAGTTGGCTCCAACTTGACAACACACAACAGCAACAATCTTGACTAGCACATTTACTAGTTTATAAATAAAAATGCCCCTTGCTTGGCAAAGACAAATAAGTTAGGACAGAAAAGGGAAATGAAATTTTTATCAGAATGCAACATTTATATTCTCACATTTGACTGCAAATGTAGGTAACATGTCAATGATGGCCATCTGACCTTCATGAGGCATTTGGGTACAGCAATAAAGAAAATTAGCCTCAAAGCCAACAGCCTGGGTTCCTACTCTAGTTATGAAGTTCTGGGAACATCCTTCTCCTTGCCTGGAATCAGGTGATGATGTTCATGTCCAACTCTGAAGAGAAATTCCAGAAATCAACAGCAAATTCACTACCTTGGAAGTGCCTTTCAACACCCTGCTCCTTCTTCCATATCTGTGTTAGTTATATTCGCATCATGCATATATCTAAGTACACACACGCACAGACAGACAGAAAGACACACACACACACACACACACACACATTAATGT